ATTCCGTTTTATATGAATTCCATGTTGTACGAGTCACTTAGATTTTACAAATACGTGAGCCGTTCACAGCCCGGCACACGTATTTGTAAAATCTAAGTGACTCGTACAACATGGAAATCATATAACACGGAATTAGCAACGGTGTTATAGGGGGTCTACTATATTTTATTCGCAAAGAACTGTCTATAGAATCTATATTTGATATTCAATTGATTATAAAGACAACGATAATATTATAAATTATTAAATCTAAATTTAATTTTCGTAATAAATTTGACATAATTTAACGAAAATAAAAATTAAAATATCGATTTTTCAACAAAATAATAGTCTTTTGCCATTAATTAATCCATTAAATAACCTTTTTCCCCCCTTTTGTCCTTAGTTACGAACATATCTATAAAAATAAAATTGCAATTAACTCATACATACAATTACAATTTTCAAGGTCTTAAGTATAAAGGTCATAAGAGAAATGATCTGGGCAAAGGTGTAAACTTATAATTTTATATCACTATTTTAAATAAATTAAAAAATTGATTTAAATTTTCTGAAATACAAGTTGAAATTGATAATGAAAAAGTAATTTTTCCATAAAGATTATTAATTTAAAAATTTCATTTTAATTTAATTATCAAGTTTATGTTATATAAAATAAATTTTAAGAGCTTTGCTATTGCATCATTTTACTGTACTTTTGTCAAAAAGTGCTCCAGGCTACTTCCAGGTAAAAGTAAGCTTCAGTTAAATTGCGTTTATGCACGCGAGGAAAATATAAAAGTATTTTTTTTTTCTTTAAATGAAAATGTACTTAAAATTTATTTTAAAACATTACCTTTTAAGACAACAAAAAGAAAAAAAAATACTTGATAAAATTATCTTATTCTTTAAATTTTATTTTAGTTTGTTTCTGAATGTTCATATAAATTAATATTCAAAAAGATACATTATTTCTTATAAAATCTTTAATGATATTTTAAATAAATTGCCGTTATATTACGGGAGGTCTGAATTAAAGCGTGCAAACCGACATATTTTTACCTCCTACGCTGTGGACACTAAGAGGGCTCTTTTTCAAGCTTATTCTGAGTTCCTCCAGGCCCGCAATGGGGCGGCCGAAGGGTATGAAAGGAGGCCCTACGAATTCAGGACAAACTACCCCATAAAAAATTCCTGGGACTTTTCGATCTGCCACTAGAGCTGTGGATAAAAAGATTATATATACATGTATATAATTACTGTACTGTAGGTTTGCCGCATTCAAATCTTTTACCTGTATTATTTAATATTTCCTTTAACTTATTTATAAAATTAAGAGAAGCCCGGGCCTCCTGGATCCTCCTCATTACGTTATGACAATTCATAATATTCTGTTAAATATGTTTGAACATTTTCTTTTTAATTTTTATGATGAAAAAATCCCCCAAACAATTATCTTCAAACAATTGTTCTATATCTGAAAATTATATTCGAATTTTATTAATCAATATTCTCATAAAATGTGTTTTAAATTGCAAAAAAAAAAAAAAAAATTCAAGGACATTTTACAGTAAAATATTGTTTTGTTTATAACAATACTTATTTACGTTTTGTAAATTACAAGTTGTTTTATGACGTTTTAAATTTATTTATTATTATCGTTAATATAAATGATATTATCAAATTAAATTTTTAGAAATATTAAATAAAAAACATTAGAAATTAGTAAACATTTAATTATAAAAAATTAATTAATTTAAAAAGTATACAGGCTATGTCAAAACAATCACAATAGAAACTTGTAAAATCATCATTTTTTTTACAAATACTTTAGAATTAATATTAATAGGCCCATCAGTGGCCAAGCGGTTCCATTCCCTAAACACTGGGCGTTCGTTGTGGGTTCTCTCCTCGCCAGAACGGGAGTTTTCCGGGTTTTCTGCACGTTTTTAATGCCTGAATAGGGACTAGTTACCCTTAAAAAACCTCCCATCTAGGCAGATCGCCTAAGTATTGCGTTGTCGTGACTTAACGAACAAACAACTTATAACAATACCTTAATTGTTATCAACAAACTAAATGTATTTGAGTTGCAATTAAGATATTAAAGCACGTAAAGAAATTTTCATAATATTTATCTCTATAGAAATAAAGTTTAGTTAAATGGAAGTACTTTTTTTTAAACTCTCCGCCCTGTGAACATTAATTAAGAGGGCCCTTTTAACAGGCTCAATACGAGTTCGGCCAGGCCTACGATGGAGATGGCGAGGGAGGGGATCCGACATATACCCCCGAACAATTTTAGGGGTGCTTTCGGATCTTCCGGGTCCCCTCCGAGCGATAGACTGCCAGCTACCCTACTGCTCGGCCATCCGGCCGTCAAATTGAAAGTACAAACATTAATCTCTGGATAAATTTACAGGAAATAAGATTTTTGAATGAAATTATTTAATCGAAATCAACGATTCGTAAAGTTTTGTGAAAAGGGGAATTTTCAGCTAAATCAAAATTCATGGTTGCCCCCCTGTAAATCCACGAAAGTTCGGGAATCCCAATTAATCGGTGTCTTTTAGACATTTTTATGTGGACGATTCTTCGACCTTTGTATAGTAAATTGCGACGTCATTTAGGTGAGTGTACGACCTTCAAATTTCTTTCGAAACAACCGGGAATTTTTCACTAGTTTTATTGGACAGGATTTTAAAACTGTTAATTCGTTCTCCGAAATTTAACCTTTCAAACGAATATATATAGGCCCAAAAAATGTAACTTAGCATTCATTATACAGTACATCGAAAACTGTATTATCTCAAAGGTTTCCAATATGAAGACTTTGGTAAGTTCTAGTATAACTACTTTTACAATTTATATAAACAAACATTATACTCATTTTTAAGATAAATATAAGATTTAATAACAATACTATTTTCTAGTTTATATTATTCGTTTTATCTGCTGTCATCATGGCAGCTTTGGCTATTAAATATGGTGGCTATGGTGGATACGGAGGTGGCTACGGTGGTTATGGTGGATACGGCGGTGGATACGGTGGTTATGGTGGATACGGCGGTGGATACGGAAAAGGATTTGGAAGAGGTTTCGGTGGGTTTGGAAGAGGTTTTGGTGGTTATGGAGGATTCGGAAAATTTAAAGGTTAAATGAGTAAGTAAATGCATATATGTTTTATTAAATTATAATTTTATCATATTAAAATAATTAAAATATACGTCTCTTTGTTTATATGCAGATAAGAAAACGTAAGCTGAAAAATAATATTTCGTCTTTACCGCAACTGAACTTGAAAACTTTCTCTGCCAAGATTAATTTATACAAAATCTTGTATTTACATCTCTGTAATATATAAATTCAATAATGATAGACTTTGTATAAATAAATTTTTTCTATATTATTTTAAATAGACTTTCGTTTATTTTATTTTTTAAATGACATAAATTTAATGTGCGCTTTTAATGTTCATGAAAAATTTTATTTTATTTTTTAAAAGAGGTCAGGGCTGTGGAGTCGGAGTAGGAGTCGTAGAGTCCGGCTAAAACACCAAAACTCCTTTTTACTTCCCAACTTGTTATGTATATATACAACGGAAAAGTATTGAAGTCATGTCATATTTGACCCTCCAGGTTTCTTTTGCAAATCTACACGTTTGGAGATCTCCCGAACCACCAAAAAAGTCAATAAAAGAGGAAAAATTCGCACGCGTGTGTGTGTTGGCGTCTAATTTGTTTAATTTCTTTATTTTCTCTTCTGAGATATTAAACAATGTCTCAGAATGGGTAAAGTTTAAGAAACGAAATGTGACACTGTAGCTTGTGTATAAAAGGCATTAATACTATTAAATTTTGATTCTTAATCAAAGGTCGACAGGGTGAAGACATAAAATGGGTCATGTGTCATATGCAGGGCTGTGGAGTCGGAGTCGGAGTTGTCAAAAAATCCGCCGACTCCGACTCCCTTTTACTTACCAACTTGTTATGTATATGAAAAATGAGTCGGAGTCGGATGGTAAGGAAAAGTCGGAATCGGAGTCGGTAGATTTTTACGCGACTCCACAGCCCTGGTCATATGTCTTAATGAATATTTTACTCGTTATTAGCGTTCAAAATTTTAAAAATAAAAAGTAAAACCCGTCTCTACCCTCAAAGTAAGTTTTTTGTCATTTTATAATACAGTAAAGCCCGTTAAGATGCTCTCGCCTAAGATGTTAGAATGTGTATGGGGACATGATTTAGTTCAACCACATTGACGCTTAATAACTAACTCCTGTGTTAAACCATCTGACTCCGATTCTAACCACTCTGACCACAGAAATTATTAGGCTTCAAACAGGGTGAACAAAATCATGCTCCCCAACACAGTCTAACATCCACACATATAGAAAAAAACCTCGAATCTTTTGCATATCTCGAAATTTCAAGGTGTCCAGAGTCCAAAAACGTAAAAATTTGGAAAGTGTCATTTTTTGACCGAGTGTTACACTTTCCCTCTGTTATATATAACAGCCAGAAAAGTAAAAATTTTCGAATACATATTTATATATTGACTGTGTCATTACTTAGAGGAGTCTTTTAGCTTTGGAATAAAAAGTTTCTACGTTCTATATTTATTAGAACTCTATTTATTGAACCTTTTATTTTGATGTCACGTGATGACATCAGAATTTCCGGGTCTCTTTCGGTAACAAGTCTGCCCCTGGTCGGAGTCGGTAGATTTTTACGCGACTCCACAGCCTTGAAAGAGAATTAAGGGCAATAGAGAAATGAGCACGAATAAGAACTTATAAATAAAACAAAGGTAGCTCCTATATTTGTAATAAAGAATATAAAAATTACAGACAAATCATAGCCACGTGTCGAACACCTAAATTGAAGCCAATTAATTTCCTGTAGAAAGTCCTCTCGAGAGGCTCTTGCTTCGCTTTATTCCATAATCCAAACCAATCCTATATGCATTTTTCTTTCAGATATTAAACATTCCTTAGTGTTTATATACCTAAACTTATTCATTAAAATATTTAATGACTCAGGAAATTTATCGTAAATTGGCAACTTTATCAGGATATTTCAAACATTTAGCACCGACTCTTAAAATTTTTATTATAAAATTTAACCTCAAATAAAAATAGGCTTTGCTTAATATTTTAATGAAGGCAATAAGAATAATAATATTTATAATTTTCATTGCGCGAAGAAAAAACTGTGTTTTTGGACTAAATCAAATGCTGACTTTCCAACAGATATTGTATGAAATGCAGTAAAACATTTTTCAACTCTACAAAATAAGGTACGGTACTTAAAAGATAAGGATAATTATATTTAAATAACAATAATAACATATTATCATCTTAGTTACTTCGTCATATAAATTAAAAAATTTAGATGTGAAGTCGGTGTACCAATCCATAAAATTAAATATGATTAAATAATGCTTAAATAAGTATAAAATTCCAATATATTGTGGATTTAATAATTTTTTTAAACAAAAAAATAATTACTTTCTTGTTTCGAAAAAATTTCATAGGCAAATAGAATATCTATTGGATCAGTTATGGAACCAATGTTAACAGAAATCTATGTCAGACATTGATTATCGTAGTGTAAAAGGTATAAAGTTTTTTTTAGATATGTTAATCCTATTAATATATGATGATGATATTTCAGTAGAAAATATTGTAATCTATGCTAATACTTTAGAATAATTATTATGGAAACGGATGTATATTATTATTATTTTTGGGCAATAAAACAAACTAGAGACTATTAATCATTTTGTCTCGTCTCCTTTGTTATACCCGTTTAAAAAAACAAGATCACTTAATAAACCTCTAAAAATATCGTATTTTGCAATGCATTTTGAATGGGAGACTACTTCACTCTTCAGGCAACTATAAAAATTTTTTAAAATAATACATTTTTGCATACGTAAAATAATAATAATTTACAATATAAATTTTTATTTTTTACCTGTTTTCTCGCAATACAAGTTTACAAGTCATTCATTTACCATCTCACGCTTACAACTTTTATCTCTATTACATCACATCATACCTCATTTATTTCCATTTCCTTATTTAAATTTATTAATTTTTTACTATTAATAATCAGTACACGTTTTTTAAATCGTCTTAAATATTTATCCATTTCTTTACACAATATTTTTATGTAATCTGACTGCAGCTTCGTCTCTTTTATTCGTACTCTTAACTCTTAATAATCTGTCAGCTTCACCTGTATAATAAAACTTATCGTTACACGTACAATTCAGCTTATAAACTACACTAGAAATATTTAATTTTTCAACGTCCAGAAATTTACTAGATTTTTTTAAATAAATCTTTTGATAAATTATTTAACTTAACTGACAAAGCCAAAGTAATTCCATATTTTTGGAATTAATTGCAAAAAAGTAATGATTAGAATCCATGAAATTTTCAAAAAATATGATCAAATATTTTTAACAGATTTTCAGGTAATGATTTGTTTCAGTCATACCATCAGGTGTAACCACTGATTAAAATTTCAGTGGACCACTGAATACTTTGATGGACTTTGATACACTGGACCCTTTGATGTGATTTTGGTCGACAAATAGAATGAGCCGTTAGAAGGCGGAAAGCAAAATGAAGATGAACTTCATTCTGCTTTCCGCCTTCCATCTGTAATTATTTGTGAAAATGGATCACGCTCAATTGGAATTGATGCATTATGCACTTTTTATGAAGATTATCCTAACAGACTTGACTTGATGACATTTCTGTTTTGCTGGGGAGAACAAAAAGTGAACTTTCACGATTTGTACATGAAATACTAAATATCATTTACAATAATCATTCCAAATTGTTATTGAAAATATCGACGAAATAAAACTAACAAGAGAAAAATTAAAATTATTTAGCCAAGTAATAACAGCAAAAGGTACTCCTTTGACAAATTGTTGGGATGGAACGGCTCGTCCTATTTATCGACTAAAAACACATCAAATATGTAGTTCGTGAACGACAGCGTACCGTCGCATTTTAGTATATTAACCTGCCAGTAATTCCGACGAAAAGTTTTCAAATTGAAGGATAGGTGGAAATAGATCTGTAGAGTAGCCAAATCGACCCAATTCTCTTGATCGATGTCAATCTACCCGATGTCAATCCTCTTTGACTTTTATTTCTGGAACCACGTAAAACAACTAGTGCACTCGCAACCTATTACAAACGGCGATAATTTATAGAAACGAATTGTCCAGGCATTTCACGAATGTCGGCAACAACCTGGTATATTTGAAAGAGTATGATAATCCATCATGCGGAGTAATAACAGTTGTTTAGAGTTTCCGGGAAACCATTTTGAACAAGTAAGAGGTACTGTCAGTGGACGTAGTCTGACTTGTTAATCAAGCCTGCAGAGTTTTGGTTTCTTTTGGAACCCATGTTTGCTAGATCTTTTTTATTTATTTTAGTGTGTAGTTTATGTATGCAAATTTTATGATAGGACTTCATATACACCCTGTATATTTTGTGTTATTTGCTAAAAGCGTTTCATATTATAGCATTGCATGTACTACAATATAATGAATATCAAATATATAATTTACTAAAATAAAAACAAAACTCCTATATGTCAATTATTAAAAGATTCCTTCTCCGAAATTAAATTGATGATGAAATTTATGTATAAATATACTTTAAATATACCTTTTATAGACTAGGCCTTTATAACTTTACAGTCTTAAAAAATGCTTAAGTAAAATAAAACTTTTGCAAATGATATTTAATNTAATATAAAAATAAAACTCCTATATGTCAATTATTAAAAGATTCCTTCTCCGAAATTAAATTGATGATGAAATTTATGTATAAATATACTTTAAATATACCTTTTATAGACTAGGCCTTTATAACTTTACAGTCTTAAAAAATGCTTAAGTAAAATAAAACTTTTGCAAATGATATTTAATAGTATTGCAAGATAATTTTAACAAATTTGATATACATAAATTTTATATAATAAAGTTAATACAGTGGAGCGTCGTTTATCCGAAAGCCGGTTATCCGAAAGCATTCCAGTCAGCAAATTTAAATTTTCGCTAGTGCTGTGGCGCTGCAATCTTTGGCTATATCTTGGGCTACTCCAATATTTTTTTGTTGGTGTGTGTTTTTTAGCT